TATGTTTTAAAAGCATGTTTTCGTGTTCTGCCATCACTGTCTTTATTCTCTAATAACATTTCAAACAGCAATGAACAGTGCCACTAGTAGTGAGTTCACACCTGACATCAACTCCTCTAGGCAGAACAACGACAGCTGTAGAGACCTGGTGTCGTCGAGCATCGTTGAAGTGGCAGCTCAAGTGACCCCAATGAGCTACTTCTGTGGCAGTTTCACATTTTCATCAATTGTTTTCTTCTCCATTTCCTGAGTCTCCTTGGCATCATCGCCAACATCCTCAACATCATGGTTCTATCACGATACTCATTGAAGGAGACCACCGCCATAATGCTCTTATCTATCTCAATTGATGATCTGATCTGTTCACTGACGCAACCAGTTCGGAGACTCGATTGCATTTTTGAGCGATTTGGCCCTACCATGGCCTTGACTGTGCGGTCAATTAATTCAGTTTATTTATTCATTATTCCAAATGTATTCAATGGTACATCCGTGTGTCTTACAACAGCTATAGCCATCGGACGAGTTGTGGCCGTTTATTTCCCATTTCAAGTAGCTCGTATCTTAACACCGTACCGAGTCAAGTGGATGATTGCATTCTTACACATCTGCATGATACCGATACTGTCCCCAGTGATGATAACTTTCGACTATGTACGGCTTTATTATCCAGAGTTGAACTCCACCAGGTTGAGCTCCAGGCTCAGCAAGTTCTACTCCGATAAATACAACGCCCTCATCCTATACGGCTTCATGGGCCGAAACCATCTTTTTGCAACTTGCTGTATGCTGACCATCCTCATCTGTGCTGTTCCCATCTGTGTCAAGCTGATGTTAGGTCGCCGAAAAGATCTGGCTAAGGTATCAACAAAACATGTTGACGACAAGCGAGGGGTCAGAATGTTACTGACTTTATGCGTGGTTACATTTAGCATATACCTCCCACCGTCATTTATTCGGATGTTCTACTACGGGTCGAAAGATAAAATTGGCTATAAATTGCTCAGAAGTGTTATCTGCTGCTGCCAGCAACTGAGCGCGACAGTTAATTTCATCATATACGTGACCATGAGCAGTAAGTTCGCCAAAACGTTCCGGAAGATCATCTCTTGTTCCCGTAACCAAAAAACCGTCAATGCGGAACAACATGTTGCTGTGAAATTTAATTTTTAAACAATTAATTTTTCAGTTCACTAATAAAGATGATGTCGTTAGAAATGTTTTAGTTGTATTCCAAGTTATATGCAGCTCGCCAGCTTTCCGTTAGGCCCAGAGGTGTCAAGCCGCTCAGTGGGCCATAACTAAAAATCACACGTAAGTTTGCGGGCCGAACAGGGTACACATTCCATCAGCGGACAATTGAAACTTTTTTTAAAACACGAATATAAATTAAAACAGAAAAAAAGTTGTATCAATAAAAACAAAAATCATTGGCAAACCCATTTTCGCTCTTATATCAATTTGTCAGAGCTGGATGTTTGGCATCTTTTCTTGGCTACAAGTCGGTTTATGTTGGGAGTAACGTTCCGTGTCATTGAGATTCTCATGATGTTATTGCAAGTATTCATCCGTGAGACGACTCCTGGGTGACGCTTTGACAATCTTCATCACAGAAAACAGCCGCTCACACATATATGTCATTGTAAACACGCTCAAGGTTTGAGCCGCATGTAGACGAAGCTGGGGCATCTCTTCAGGAATGAAACGAGTGAACTGTGCAGGCCCCACAGTGTCGTACTTTGCCTTTAGTGTCACATTATACTTCAGCTCTGTCAGCTACATCTGCAAATTTACAGGTGCAGTTTCCACGTCTATGACTAATGGGTTACGAAACAGCTCGAAATTACTTTTTTCTGTGCTTCAAAGTCACTAGTGCGCCGTGCGAAGTTTTTCAGCAAAACGTGCATTGGGAAACACCATAGCCTTGACTTGGTTCAACATTGCTTGGCAACAAGAAAATTGAGACAAGTGTGATTCATACATTTGTGTCTCTCATAAACGCAGCTTAACTTGAAATGCCTTCACTGCATCATCGATATCAGTGATCAAGTGGTCCCATCCCTGGAGCTGCAGGTTAATGTCGTTGAGATGAGTGGTTATGTCAGACAGAAACGCGAACTCACATTTTATTTTCGCTCATTCTGATCAAAGTGAGAACGCTCTCAGGTAGCCTATCATTTAACAAGGCTGCTCATTAGGGAATTTGATTAGCACTTTATACTGCAGGCCCATTTAAAAATATTTTTGCCTAAAATTTTCTCTCGGGTCTGATATAATTGGACGCTAGGGCGTATGTAGTCCGCGGGCCTTGAGTTTGACACGTGTGGATTAGGCAGTTCCATTATATGTGATCAAATTTGGAACACGATATTAATCAGTGGTTTAAGAATTTCATATTAATTATCTCAATCATAGGAATGAGCTTTTGTTGTTGGCTTGGTTGTTGTTGTTGTTGTTGATATTTCGTGTGTGTGTGTCTTCTGTCAAGTTTAAGTCCACCTTGCATTTATACAATTTAGAAGGTCAACATTAAGTTAGACTTTCATCTGGAGGAAAAAAAAATCATATAATAATCTTCACCCCTTAAACCCCCTCCCCTTTCATTGTTTTTACACACACATCCACAGACTGAAATGATGTATAGTATGAAAATGTTAAGTTGTTGTATTGTAGGTAGTTCTAGACGTAAACCCCACAGTAAGGTCTGAAATGGTCTTCTCCCGCAGGAAATCAAAGGCAGTTGCGATTATTATTATTTTTTTTTGGTACGAATCTCATTTGTCGCAGTTCTCGGGATTTTATTATGTACCTTCCCTTGATAAACAGTGAAAACTGATTTATTTATTTATTAATTATTATTTGTTTTTTAGTTTATTTTTTTGTTTGGGGGGGGGGTAGGTAGAAATTTGAAAGAATGCTGTTGTCACCGGAAATGAATCTATGATCCAAGTTTCAGCTGGATCAGTTGGCGGGAAGTGGGTCCATGAGTCGTCCAAGGGGTCCTGCCAGCCACGCAGACACCCACGAAAAAAAGCGAAGTTAATATAAATGATTTTTTAATTTTTTTTTTAAAAAGGGATCATGATTTTGCGCTGCGGCTAGGTCGGTCATGAGCGCTCTATGTAATTTTTGATTGGTGCACTTGAACTGAACGTCTCTCCTGCGCGCGCGGTGCGTAAGACGGCTTTGTTCATTGCATGAGAACATTTTGTTGAGTGTTCATTTACTTGACGTCTGAATGGTGTTGTTACGTGCCGCTGTATGGTTTTCGAATTTTCTACTGTTTCATGATTGCGGGCTCGTAGACTAAACAATCCGTCTCAAAGTACTGAATACCACGCATACAAAGGAAACGAGACCAAACCTAGAAATAGTCCTGATATTAATTTAATTCTGCAATAAATTTCTATAAAAAAACACCTTCAAATACACAGAAATAAAACAAACAAAAAATAAACAAAATAAGAAAAAAAAAACCTACATCAACTTACAGCAAGTGAGAAGGTACACGCCTTGACATATATTAATACCAAAATGTACACACACATATAAATAGTGCAATCGTGCGATTATATTTCACGTACATGTTAGGAAATATAGCAGCAAAAATTTCTTTAGGCAAGGAAAGCTGACGGCCTGTATATAGGGATTAAATCAGAGCCATGTATAGCCAGGGGTCGGCAAACTTTTTTTGTGCGGAGGACCACATTGACATAGGTAAAGCTTTTTGGGGGGCCGCATGGATATTATGGCTAATGTTTACATGTCGATAAAAATTTCTCTATTTCAAAATCGGTAAATTTGCATTTTAGCATAACAAGACAAAAGTCAAGGACTTTAAAGAAAAAAAAAATAATAGAAAATTAGAAAGGAATTTGATCACAATATTAAAACAGTCATAAAGGTGCATGAAATTCTGTAAAAGTCATCAAAATAACTTAGAAACAAAGTAATTTTGTTTATTTATAAATGCTTTGAGGGCCGTATGTGGCCCGCGGGCCGTAGTTTGCCCACCCCTGACGTATTGTAAATAAATTCTAGAAACATATATTACCATAAAAGTTGAGAGGGTTTCACTGTCGAATAATCATTCCTAGACAGGGTGGGGAAACTTTTTGTCCAAAATAGCCACACTTGTGACCAATGGAAAGTAACATTTGACACACTATATATAATTCATAAAACACTACTGTTAAATCAAATAAGAGTAAATACCACAGAAGATGGCGCCTCTGATATGTATGCCATACAATGATAGGCAACATGTCTTATCTCTTTCCATATACATAACATAACCATAATTTCCATACAGCTTTTTTTTTTTTTTGACACTATTAAAATTACATTTCTTTATATTCTCAAAAGAATACATCAAAGTACACACATTATCTCTACTCTCTAATATGGGCGTAGATATAATATGAACTACCTACTCTGTGCACACATCAATTCAACTGTCTAATAAGTTAGTTGATAATATGAACTACCTAGTCTGGTCTCTCAACCTCACCGTGTCACAGGTGTCAGCTGTCGTTAGAGAGTGTCTTAGTGAAACCTGTTGTTTATTTTCAACCCCATATAACAGACACCACCCACCTCCCAAAAAAATGATGTCGACTATGGTGGTTGGTAGGAACACCAGCAAGTGAACGAGACGCAAGCAGAGCAACGCAGAATCCACCCGTCCAGAAGGGGGTGGACAAAATTAAACCATTTTGATATTACTTGCAAAGAAAGGTCTGCGTAAATATCCTAGTGAACTTTGAACTCGTGGAAACATAAATGATGAAGTTAACAGAGGCGTTGAGCTGATAGAGTGAATAGTTCACGTTCGACATCAAAGCAAAAGCCTTGGCGGAGAAAGAATCCGCCATGACGTAGGTCCGGTAGATGTCGACTATGGCGGTCGGCAGGAACACCAGCAAGTGGACGAGACACACGCAGAGCAGTGTTTTGACCACCTTGACATTCTGTTCAGAGGTTTGCTGTCTGGACCTTGTTGAACTCATGCGCGCACCGGCACACGTGTCGGCGTTCAGTTTGATGGCTATGGCCAGGGAGCAAAGAAGAATGATCACCAGGGGGATCGTAGTGAACAGATTGTTGAGCACAAGCCCAATGTAGATGTTAAAGAAGCCTGGGTTTTCTCTACAGACCTGGCTGTAGACTGTCCTAGCCACCGTAACGTTGTAGCGAGCGTCGTAAACCCATTCATAAGAGTAATAGAAGAAAAGGACCATAAGGAGGGACACGGTGAAAATGTACAAGCTTAAAACTGTCCACTTGACGCGAAACGGAGTGAAGATGCGAGACACGTAGAAAGGGAAGAAAACCGCCACGAATCTCTCGATGGCTATGGCCGTTACATGAAGTAAACTCAAGCAGAGGAAAATATTGATCATTGGATAAATTAATATGTATGAAAACGTTGTCACGGTGGTTCCCACGTTCTGGTCAAAGTAAGGCATCAGATTCTTCAATCGGTACGCTATATTCAAGAAGGAAAACAGAAAATCGCTGAGGGAGAGAGAAACGAGAATAATGTTTGTGCTTTTCTTAAAGCCGTGTCGACACAAGACCACCATGTTGAACACGTTGCCGACAATCCCTAGCACGGAGAGCAGTGGGATGAGACAGAAGCCCAGCACGACGTGCTGAACGAAGGCGATCTCATTGGTTATCACAGTATCGGCAGGGGGCGTGGTGGTGCTCAAAACAGGAAGTGACGAATCCTTCCCCCAGGATCGTGTGTTATCGCTATTTGCTGACTCGTTGAATCCCATCTCGTGCACAGTTTTGACCAGCGTCCAGTTGACCATGGCAAGTAATTCTAAATCTTTTTTTTTTTTTAAATTTAATCCTCCGTGAATGAATGGATTGTGACACTAAAAATAACCAGTGTTTGGATATGAACAGCAGGCAGTGGATCCATGGCCTGAAAACAATGGTTTGTTGTCAAGGTACAGCTTTTTTTCTTGAATGTTTTAAGTTACCTATGGTTTGATACAAACCTATGTGGCGTATACAGTACTGACTGGTTTTAATTTTAAAAGGACAGATTCTATGTGGTTGTGTTGTTGTTTATTTTAAATCTACTGGTAGTCAGTCGTCTGCAGGCAGAACCATAATTCGAGGCCTTCGATAGTTTTATAACACAGTTTGATACTAGATGAATGTCTTCTCCTTTCGTAGATGTCTTTATAAGACAGTGGTACAAGATGGATGTCTTCTCCCTTCGTAGACGTCTTTATAAGACAGTGATACAAGATGGGTGTCTTCTCCCTTCGTAGATGCCTTTATAGGACATTGCTACAAGATGAATGTTTTCTCCTTTCGTAGATGTTTCATAAGACAATCAGACAACGTGAATCATCACGCAAGGATGCGGGTCAACTGTTGGCTGCATGATGGTGGAGTAGCTCGGTTGTTGGAAGCTTGGGTCACGCTCAAAACTGTTAGCATGGAAACGAGGGGCTTGTTACCCCACCGCCACTGGCTCAGGTAATGACCGCACGGATGGGGTCCTTTCGTCTCCAATGTGGATTCGCAATAACCTTAACCAGTTGCATCAGGTCACCCTAGTGGTACCTATCTCCAAGTCACCGTAGTGGTACCTGTCTTCAAAGATCCGCTCAGTCAATAATCAAACTCACCCGTCTAAAGCCATGTGCGTGTAGAAAAAAAAAAATTTCCACCCGCTGGACTGACCCCACGTGACAATTGCTGCCTACGTCTGCCAATGTTGATCTCCCCAGCCAGCCTGGGGGGGGGGGGGGGGGGGGGGTCAGTTCCTGGTCTCCAGCGAGTGTGACATGTAGCTTGATCGAACTGAACTGTAGAGATGGGATGACAAACACAACAACTTCTGCTTTAAACGTTTGTCCCTTTAAATAAGAAAAAAAATAATAATATGCTTGTAAATATTAACAAAGCTTTCATTTATGAGTATTAAACTATTTTTTTTAAAAATACAAACATTATCTCAGCAGTTCGAAAAGTAGTTGTATTAAACTAGCAATTGCGATCACTTAAGTAAGTGTTTTAACTAGTTTCTATTTCTTGTTGTATTTTCTTTGTCCTATCTGCCGTGGAAGGCTCTTAGCTGAAATTTTCTAATCGCATTGTCCTGTCTTTCGAGTCCAGCTTCCATATACCTTGAGCTACTATTTCCTACACACAGCCTGAACACAGTCCTTCATTTACTATAGTTTTATTCAATGGTTGATGTCAGAAGTTAACTGGGCTGTGTTGATATAACTTGTAATGAACGCTTATGGCTGTGTTTATATATCTTGCAACCAACGCGTATGGCTGTGTTTATATAATTTGCAACCAACACTTATGGCTGTGTTTATATTACTTGCAACCAACGCTTATGGCTGTGTTTATATTACTTGCAACCAACGATTATGGCTGTGTTTATATTACTTGCAACCAACGCTTATGGCTGTGTTTATATTACTTGCAACCAACGCTTATGGCTGTGTTAATATTACTTGCAACCAACGCTTATGGATGTGTTTATATAACTTGCAACCAACGCGTATGGCTGTGTTTATATAACTTGCAACCAATGCTTATGGCTGTGTTTATATATCTTGCAACCAATGCTTATGACTGTGTTTATATATCTTGCAACCAATGCTTATGGCTGTGTTTATATATCTTGCAACCAATGCTTATGGCTGTGTTTATATATCTTGCAACCAATGCTTATGGCTGTGTTTATATATCTTGCAACCAATGCTTATGGCTGTGTTTATATATCTTGCAACCAATGCTTATGGCTGTGTTTATATATCTTGCAACCAATGCTTATGGCTGTGTTTATATATCTTGCAACCAATGCTTATGGCTGTGTTTATATATCTTGCAACCAATGCTTAAGGCTGTGTTTATATATCTTGCAACCAACGCTTATGGCTGTGTTTATATATCTTGCAACCAATGCTTATGGCTGTGTTTATATATCTTGCAACCAATGCTTATGGCTGTGTTTATATATCTTGCAACAAACGCGTATGGCTGTGTTTATATAACTTGCAACCAACACTTATGGTTGTGTTTATATTACTTGCAACCAACGCTTATGGCTGTGTTTATATTACTTGCAACCAACACGTATGGCTGTGTTTATATAACTTGCAACCAACACTTATGGCTGTGTTTATATATCTTGCAACCAATGCGTATGGCTGTGTTTATATAACTTGCAACCAACACTTATGGCTGTGTTTATATTACTTGCAACCAACGCTTATGGCTGTGTTTATATAACTTGCAACCAACGCTTATGGCTGTGTTTATATATCTTGCAACCAACGCTTATGGCTGTGTTTATATATCTTGCAACCAACGCTTATGGCTGTGTTTATTTTACTTGCAACCAACGCTTATGGATGTGTTTATATAACTTGCAACCAACGCTTATGGCTGTGTTTATATATCTTGCAACCAACGCTTATGGCTGTGTTTATATATCTTGCAACCAACGCTTATGGATGTGTTTATATATCTTGCAACCAACGCTTATGGCTGTGTTTATATATCTTGCAACCAACGCTTATGGCTGTGTTTATATTACTTGCAACCAACGCTTATGGCTGTGTTTATATAACTTGCAACCAACGCTTATGGCTGTGTTTATATATCTTGCAACCAATGCTTATGGCTGTGTTTATATATCTTGCAACCAACGCTTATGGCTGTGTTTATATAACTTGCAACCAACGCTTATGGGTGTGTTTATATAACTTGCAACCAACGCTTATGGCTGTGTTTATATATCTTGCAACCAACGCTTATGGCTGTGTTTATATAACTTGCAACTTGCCTATTGAGCATGACTGAAATCTACTAGCTCGTGAAAACCTCATCGCTTTCTCTTTCTAATACATGAACACCAAAATGTGTACATTGGTTTTATCATCTGTGTACACACTGAACATGACACAACATTTCAGTAGTAGCAGCACAGGGGCAACCGAGCAAGGCTGATAAGGGAGAGTAATCCTTAGGGCAACCGTCAAGCAGATCATCATAGAGAGAAATGTGTGATGTGTGTGGGTCTTCCCGATCATAAAGTAAGATCTTTTTTGGATCTTTTAGAACGAAACGCTTTAAACACAGTTAAATTGTACAATCACAAAGGACACTGGTAAATTTATACGATTATTGCCTCAATTTAAAATAGATCCAGCGGTAAGGATGTAATAGACGGCAATAATGACGACATTTCAAAAGCTTTATGGATATTTAATAACCTCACACCGTTTACGGTGTAATTATTTGAAAATTATACTTTAGGCAGATACCGCTACAATGGACATTTTTCTGGAAAATAAAAACTATTTTTTTTTTCGTTTGTTTAATTAATCTATAACAAGCACTATTTTTTTTTTTTTTTTTTTTTAAATTTATTTTTTTTTTTTTTTTTTTTTATTTTTTTTAAAAAAATTGTTTTTTTTTTATTTTTTTT